CTGGGTGCTCCATACTTTTGGTACTGTGCAACTTCTAAGCTACACTTTGACATCATTTAACAAGTTTGTCTTGCTAGATCAGTTATGAATGAGTTATGAATTTGATCCTCACTGTGTGCTCCCATACTTTCGGCTTTGTGCCTCTTCTCAGATGCACTTAGAAAACCACGATAGATTTGGAGAATTTTAAAGTTCATTCTTGCTGTCAATTCCCAACAAGAAATTAGTTCAATACGTAATTTATTTATTTATCTATACTATTTGCATGTGGACACTCGTCCACATGCAAATAGTTTATTGTTGTTATCACTATGTTTCAGCTGTTGTGCCCTCTGCTCTTCATCAGGTGTATGTCGATCTAGGTAACCTCCAGGGAATTCTGAACTAGACCCTTTATTTAATCTATGGGGGTAGACTGTTCATGTTTAGAGATACCTCATCTACTCCTTATTTTTAGTACTGCTCAGTTATTGTTTGCTTTATTTCTTCTGAGTTCAATTGCACACTGCTCGGCTCAGAGATTGAACTCATAATTACTATGTCACCTAATTCATGTGGCTGAGTGGTAAGAATATTTGCTTTCTAACCATAAGACCTGGGTTCGAATCTTGCCATGGTCGATTTGTCATGAACATGACTTCTTGATATTATTGGTCTGGGAGAGGCAATCTCAGCATGCGGCAACTTTAAAAAGTGTCTGAAAACCATATCACAGGCTGACCCAAGCCTTGTGAGTGAAATTGGAATTGGTAGATGAAACTCTTTGTGCCATCAATGGTGGTGCTAGCACAAAGTCACAAGTCATTGTGACCGAGGGTTTGAGCGTGTTGAACTTGTTCAGACTGTTGATCACACAAGACAATGTGCTCTCTCCCAGAAACTGTAACTAAGATAATCTCCGTTTAGTTGCAGTAAGAACCACAGGTGGGCTCTGTGGGTGTTGAACAAATGCAAATGTGCCTGAACAGGCATCTGCAACGGGGATTGACCAGCCATTATTATAAATTCTCAAACCTGCACATTTAATCTGCTATGCTACATACTGATGATAAAAAGATGAATCTTTTCCATGTACACCCCTGCCAATAACTATTTAGTTCCTGTCTGAATTTTTTTTGATGAGGAATTGTCATTATTCGCATTCAGACCAATATCCTCATCTTTGTTGTTATCACAACATTTCAGCCATTCTACCCTTCTTCAGGTGTCTGTCAATCCAGCTAACCTTCAGAGAAATTTGAACTAAAACCATTATTTAATCTATAGGGACAGAATTTTCTCATTCTATTGTCTATGATTTTTTAGTCATTTCATGCCCAGTAAAAGGGATAAAGCCATTAAGATGCAAGGGGTTACTGAGAGAGAAAGAAACTCAGAAAATGTTGTACAGAGAGAGGACAATAAAAGAACGAGGTTCAAACAGACATAAGATGATGATTGACATCACATTTAAAATTTTAATGGTCATAGTTGACAGGAAAGTAAGAAACAGGAAGAAGAAACTATTAGCATAGAACTTGTGCTAACAATTAGCAATTTCAAAAGTAAATGAACAAGACCTAGCTGCCAATCGAGTACTGCACTTAAATTCGTGAAGTCATGGTTCAATAAATAAATAATACACCCATTTTTTTATGGGTATTATGCTAGTATTTTTTTAATCATCTATTTTAATTATTTTTCCCTTTTTATCAGAATGTTTCTTAATAATCCATTCTTTAGAAATGAATAATCAAGAATCAAGAAAATAAAAAAGTAAAACTTTGGATAAAACTTGAACTCAACTAATATAACAAATTATCTTTGATGAATAATTTTATTTTATTTTTTTATTTAATGCCATGTTCCTCCAAAGTGTAAATAATCATGATTCTTCACAAAATTCTTTCCTTAAACATCTGTGAATTGCCATGCATTCTGGGAAAAATAATAGTGTGTTGTTTCCACTGCTCTCTCCACAGTTTGGAATTCAGTTTTCATTTTCCTAGACTGGTTGCCACCGAAGGCTAGAGAGTCCAGTCTATTATGTTACTTAATCCATAACTGGTGGGTAGAAGAAATAGATTTGTGACTTTTTCAAGGGCATTAGTATGAAAATGAATACAACAGAGAAACCTGAAATTTGAACTCTGCTTACTGATTCCATTTTACGCAAAGATATCCGTTACCCGACCCACGCATCTTGAACTAATTAGGTTATCAAACCTGATAAGTCACTGGTTCAAAATAATGTTATTGGTTGACTGACAAAATAAAATATTTCTCTCAATCAATATTTCTCCACTGATCAATAGCATAATTTCTGCTGAGCCATAAATATCTGAAAATATGGATGTCACTGAGTGGCAAAAATTAGACATCAGTATCATATTAAGTTGCATCTTCACTACTTTTTGTGTCCATAATGGAAATTATATTGGGCAGTGAGAAGGACAGTACAATGAATATTGGAAAAAATTTGGCCTTTCAAATTAATGATATAACACTTATTTTGAAGTAAAAAATGCATATGAAACATCATGTGATCCACCTACAAGAGCTCTTCAGCAGAGTGAGGATGAAAATTAGGATAAATGCTAGTTTATCTTCAATAAATTATTTTCTTTTTTTACTAAATGTTCATCCAATACAAAGACTGACAGCCACTTAAGAGAGAGGGTTACTAAATTAGGATGTTGTATGGATACAAGAGGATTTTGATTGATATTTATTACTTTGAATAATTCTTTTTTTGGTGAGTGAATATTGCATTAACAATTTTTGTGTTCTTCTGAATGCAGCATATTCTCCAGACCCTGTCATCTTCAGACTATCAGTTGTTTCAATCCATGATGCTAAATATAAGTGTCCTTTTTGTTCCCATTTTTTCTAAAGCTTCCTCATTGCTCATATGCTCAGGCAAAGTCATTCTCTACATCCTTCTGTAGAACTACATTTTTGTTGCCTCAAGTCTCTTCTTTATCTGTGAGGAGATTATCCAGCATTCACTTCCATAGAGAATGATCATTCAAAAATAAGGTGTGTCTCAATAGTACTTAGACCCCATATTAATTCATTGTATATCATTCTTGGTCATTAACTCAGGCCTTTAATCTCAGATACATATGTCCACGTGGTTTGTAAATATATCCTGCAATATCTGCAATATATCCATGCCTTTTACATCTGTTGATGCAATTACAGTAAGAGTTGTTGGTGGGCTAACTGAACAAGTCAGACCTTGTCCCATCATGTCTCAGACATATTCAATAAGGAAAAAATCTGGTAACTGTGTTTGCTAGGGAAGCAACATTATTGAACATTTGACCTAACATAGTGTATCAAGTGGGAAATATCATCTTCCTATTGCAGGAATGGCAGTAGAAGAAGTTAAACAATATGCTGGATATGCATGATACTGTTCAATATTTCCTATATAAATGCCAAAGTCAAGCAAGAGTTTTAACTTAGAGCATCCCAGATTATGATGGCAGGAGTTAGGCCTTTGTGTCTTGGCCAAATACATTCCAGAATATGTTATTTTGTTACAACAACAAAACATTTAACTAGTGAATCATACATGACTATACAATCTAATAGGTGATTTTTTTTCACTTAATTTACATGGAAGCCACACGTCAATGTAACTAACATAACCAATATAGTGCAAATAATTTTTGTAGTTTGATTTAGATATTTTGAACAGGTTGAGTATTTCCTGTTACATAGAAATTTATCATTCTCAAGCAGTGTTTTGATTGATTTCTATCAACTCCAACTGGTCTATTCAACAAGGGGACATCATTCAATAAGAAAACTTGAGCACAAAGCCTTGTAAACCATTTTTGATATATTCAATCATCAACAATATCTTCTTCCTAAACTGCAAAATATTTTATGGACATAATTAAAAGTGGACTCCCTCCCTGCCTCCTGCTTTCCAATCAACTTTAATCTGCAAAAATTTAAATGCAATATCAATCGCTATCTACCTTATTGCTCTTTTCTCTTTCTGCTCATTACTAATGTTTCTGTTCCTTATTCCTCCACACCCTGTAACCTCTTGTGTACTAGTGACTGTACTGCCTTGCTTGGGGGTGATACAAAAAAAAAGAAATCGATAAAACATTCAAGGTTAACTGGTAATGCCAGGGATAAAAAAAAAATACTAGAACACAATGCTTTTGCTTCATTATGAATTTCTTTTTAATTTTTGTTGTCAGAATTACTGAATATGAAATGTTCCAGTATTTATTAGAATAGTACAGCTTGCATAAGTACTATCACATCCAGGTCTTCAATTGCAGAATACCTTATACAAAATCAGGTATGTGCTCCATCCTTCCAAGAGGACATGTCTTCATTTTTGTGCAGGTCACATTTTAACTATCATTTAAAAGTCCTTGAAACAATTTTCATTAAATTAAGATAAACTTCCTTGTGCAAACAGAAAGAATCACTGTATGTGATTTGTTTAGAAAAATATATCAATATCGATATATTATTAATACGTGTGCATTTTCTTTTTCAGGTTTCCTTTTTAGTCAGATCTGCACCCCCAATCGATTTCTGATAAGTGAGGAGCAATAAGCAGTTAACTTGTTCTGTTGTTCACTTTTATTAATTTTTTTTTTCTAATTTCATGGAAAGCAGGAGTTCCACAAGTGAGAAGTGTGAGAAAAGAAACTGTTAGCATAGCAGTTACAGTTACATCTAGGTAGCTCAACTGTAAATTGATGAGGTCTCACTGCCAGTCTAGTATTGCACTTAAATTCAAACAGTCTAGGTACCATAGCGAAGAGCTTATCCGAACAATTACCACGAAAGTATTTATAAAAAAGACACAGAGAGACAACCTTACAGCAGTGGGAAGGTGACTGAAGCTGAGCCGCCAGATTAGGACCAATAATATTGTTTATGATTGATGAGTCAGAAGCTATATTCAGTTATAAAAAGCTGGCAGAAAATTTGGTGTACATGTGAATGCAAAATGATGGAGAAGAGAGAAGAGGTAATATTACCAGTAACAGCAGGTAGTCGAGGAACACAGTCAGCCACAGATTTCTGAAGAAGTTGTACATCACGAGCTGATAGATCTGTTGTCCTAGCAAGATCAGGACCTGATAAACCCAACACAACAGATAACGTGTTGATTTTGGCTAAAAGAAAAAAAAGAGAGAGAGAGAAATGAGGATAATGACAGAGGCAAAAAAAAAAAAGAAAAGAAAACAAATGTGAGTTTCTATTTTGGTATGGAAGATCAACAAAGCAGGAATCAAATAAGATTACAACAAAAATAGAAACTAGAAAAAAAGAAAGTAAAATTTAAATTGGCAATAACTCATAAATCATTTCTATAAAATGTATTTTCAGTTTAGTTTCATGCTGACATTTGCTGAAGAGTAAGTGATTGCTTGTGTAATTTTACACATTGATGTTTTTTTGTGATACTAAGTTAATCTTTTCTACAGAAGGAAATTAGATGGAGTGAGTCAACAAACAAGAAAGTCTTAAAGAAAATGGCAACAGAAGGAACTTATACTCAAAACCAGAAAGAAATAGCAGAAATTTTTTGGATACATAATGAGGAAAGAGGGCTTGGAAAATTTAACCTTACAGGGCATACTGAGGGCAAGAAAGTTGGGGGAAGTCAATGAGCTTGTGTGAATGGATGATGGAATGGTGTGGTAGGGGCCTTAGCAAAGGGAGAAAAACTGCTAAGATTCACACAAGATAGGAAATGGTGGAGAGATATGATCATCTATGTCCTGAAGGCATGCTGCACATAGTAGTTAATCTTAGTAAATTACTGTTTAGGGTGCTTCTGAATGGATAATGAGTTAACACACAGTCACTTTGTAAGGAGTTCTATTCTTATTGAGTGTTCTACACTTCAGGCCTTGTGCCAGGTTACAATAAGCTCAGTAAATACCCAAAAGATTGCTGTCAACTGAGCAGGTGTTTCAGACAGCTTTTCAATCATATCCAGCAACTGCAGGATTTAAGTTGGTTGGTTTTTGATGTAATGGAATAAACTGTCACCCCCATGAGTGACTACACTATAAGTAGTAACTACCTATAAATATCCATAAGGCAACGGACTACAGGAGTCTAGCTGGAATCTTTTCCAGCTGTGCTGGTTGAACTCTCAGCCTTCGGGCAGAGAGGAACCTGGCTGAGGTTATGCTGAAGGGCAGAGTCTCATCCGAGGAGGTAGACAAACCCAATCCTGTTTATGTGGAGTATACGGGGATTTTTTGGCTGAGCCTACAGGCTTGGGAACCCCACATTAAATTCGGCCTTGTGCCACAGGTGACTGCGTGGCACAGTTGCTAGATACCATCTCTCTGGGATCTTTTGAGCACAACTCAGACTTACGTGAGAACTACCGATCTTCCAATAGCAGCACTCAATACTGGATTGACTTGTGATGGTGTGCATAACTGTTACCGTATTTCTTTTTTGTACTGGTTTTACAATAAACCTTTACTTATTTTATCCACCATGTTTGTTAAGTATATATTCCTATTAGCACAGAATATATCAGTTTTTCTTAGTGGCATATCAACTTCTATGGGTTTAATGCCAAAATCAAAATATTTTGTACACAATTTTTCTTTTTGAGATAATAATGGTTTTAGTGATACAAGTCTTACTAATTAATCCATAGCTAGGGGAGAAGAGGTAGATTCATACCTTTTCCAAGGGTATTTATGCTTGTGAATATAACAAACCCAACTGAAATTGGAACTCAGCTCTCCAATTATCAATTCCAAGCCATTATTGATTACACCACCCATACATCCAAGCATAGAGCACCTGATCTTCTCTAATGATCACCTATCTAGGTACTCATAGGAAAATCATTTAAGGAGCCAAAAAGTGTTACACTAATAAATAGGGTTGTCAAAGGAAACTCAAAGGACTAGAATTTTCTCAAAATAATAAATCTTCTTTTCCTATCTATTAGAGTAAATTTGTCAAAATATTTGAAAATGTTTGACATTATATATAAGTAAGCATTGTTTCTTTCTGACATCACTTGCGTTCTGTAATAGACCATGATGATTACAAAAAAATCCAAATTAAAACTTATTAAATCACATTCAAAACTGATTTTTGTTTTTATTTGTTTTTGCAACTTCAGAAATTTAAAAAAAAAAAATAATGTCACTGTTGCAGTAACCACAGACTGACAGTTAACAAATTAGTTTCACTGAATCATTGTTCATGTAGTGAGTTTAATCTTTTTTGAATATACCATTGAAGCAACAGAAATGTGGTTCTACAGAAGGATGTTGAGAATATCATAGACCGGACATGTGAGCAATGACAAAGTTTTAGAGAAAATAGAAACAAAAATGACACTTTTTTGTTTGAATTTCTGGGATTTATCATTATTTACACTCTTTATATTCAGATTATTGCCCTCATCTTGTTGTTTTTATCATATTCCAATCACCAGATTTCCTCAGGTGTATATCAATCTGGGTAACCTACAGGGAATTTCGAACTGAACCGTTTATTTGTTCTCATTCCACAGCTCGTGTCTAAGGATATCATCTAATTCTTATTTTTATTTAGTACTGTTCAGTTATTGCTCACCTGTTTCCACTGAGTGCATGTACACACTGCCCAAACCAGTGCTTGAACTCACAACAACTATGTCACCAAATTCACAAACCAATACTTTTACCCATTAGCCCATTGTCCCTAGGCAGTTTTGCCTTCTGGGCTTCATCAGAAGCTTGTTGATTCAGGTAACCTTCAGGGAATTTTGAACTGAAACATTTATTTAATCTAAGGGGGGTAGACTGTTATTCTTCTGCTGACCATGTCTAGAGATATCTGGTCTTGTTCTTATTTAGTAATGTGCATCTAACACTTTTGTCCCAGCCCCTCAACCTCCAGTGTCTTACTCTCTGGGTTAAGGTATCTACTCAGCCCTAACCAAACTTAAGGGAATGGCTGTAGGTCCCCTGAGCATCCGTAGATTATTCTCTCTTCAAGAATATACTCCAGTCTGCCTTTTTCAGCATAACTACGCATTTATATAGATAAACCTGGCTGGTTATAACTGACCCTCGGCCCTACTACTTCGCACGCGATTATCACGGGGTTCTGGCTGCTTCAACCAAAATCATGTGAATTCCAAAGTTCATTCTAGCTTACTCAGCTCTATTTCAATTTTTAATCAATAAAAATTATTTTGACCATTTCCATTGTCTTCTGATGACCCAGATTCGATGGGTACAACTTCTGCCCTAGCTCAGATTTCCCCATCAGTAAACAAAATGCTCTGATTTAATTTCAGTATTCAAATCTACTCCAATTTCACTAAAAAAAAATATGTGTGTGTGTGTGTATTTCCTAGACTCTCTCTCTGTCACATGTCACATTTCTACTGAAATGAAGTCAAGAATTGAACTGAATTATTATGTCACCAAATCCACAAGCCAACACTTTAAGCAACTAGGTCTTTGTCCATTTGGACAATCTTGAGTGTAGAATTTGGTGCCTTAAACTTAATCTGGTTGCTGATGAGACTGTAGCTGCTGTTATGTCTGTTATGAAATTACTCTTAGTAACAAAGTTCACATTTGGATGAATGTACAGTCAAAATAAATCTAATTTTATCAAAATGTAGACTAGTTCAGAAAAGAAGAGTAGTTGGAAACCTCATTCAAAGATATAAGCCAATATAAGGTTCTCGACAAAATCCAAAGATGGATAAGCAATGTGATTGGCCCTGATCTGGCATCTCGTCTCCCTTTCTCTTACTTGCTTCCCTGATAGCTATAATCTTTGATTATTCAAATGCAATGTCAATTGGCATCTCTAGATGCCTTGATCTATTCCCTCTTCTCCTCTTCATCCTTTCCTCTATTATGCCTCTTTACTCCCACTCTTTGTAACCCCTTGCGTGCTAGTGGCATCCTGCCTTGATTGGGGGGAAAAGCTTAAAACAAAAAGTAATTGTTACTTTGATTAGCTTTTGACTAAATTTCATCTTTTTATTTTTGCTCTTTATCACAACATTCAAAATTGTGACACATTTGAAATAATAGAGTGAAACCAATGTAAAAAAATATTAATGATTTCTAATGAGATTTGAAATCACATTCAGAATTTTGGGAGCTTGTCTTACATAGATGATATTTTTACTAATTCAGCCATGGAAGCTAGGCAAAGCTCTCATACACATTCTTCCATTCCTTCTCTCCATTTTCTCCTCCACCATATTGTTTATTTACTACTTACTCATGATATTAGTAGACTTATTAGAAACACTGAGATGAAGTATTTAAAGATTTTTCATTATTAATTTTTGACTAACCTTAAGTCCAGAATAAAAGTGTAGGCTGTAAAATTCATTCAAAACTAATTTGTTTTCAGAACAAAATGGAGGTTGGAAAAAAGTGGAAAATGAAATGAATGAGGGGGTCTGGAATAACAATGCATTAGTTGATAAAACAAAAAAAAGAACAAACTTTATATAACTTTATATGAAACATGAAGGTAGTAATAAAAAGAGAGGTTGGATGAAAGTGAAAAAAATAGAGAAAGAGTCTGGCATAACAGTGGGCAGGTTGGAGAAGGCTTGTCTATTCTGGACATCAGAGTAATTCTGTTGTTAGTATTTACATAGTTAAGTTTGACACAAGGATCAAATTGTGGATCATCAAATAGGTATCAAAATTTCCTTAGTAGTAATAGTCTGCATGGTAAACTTGCTAACAAGTTTAATTGAAGTGAAGCAAATCAAGTACAAGGCAACAAGAAGAGCATCAGTGAAGATTGAACTGACTATAGTACAAATCAAATCAGTCAGATTTAAACATTTCTCTTTCATTTTTGATCAACACTGAAAAAGAAGTCATTGGAAAATTTTATGTGACCCTATTAAAAGCTACTAGTTCCTTTTTGTGCCATTTAACATATAGACTTTAATAAAATATTTCATTAAAAAGAACCATTTTGTTCCAATGAAATAGAATAAAAACATAAAATGAAACTGTAATTTATACTTACTCTATTGAACTGATACTACAATTTGATCACAGCCAAAAAGCTGTAATGCAATAAAATAAAAATGGGTCAGTAAAATTTTCCTTCAGCAAAGCTGAGAAAAGAAATTAAGAATGTGTGCTGTGCCAATCAATTCTCCTATGTGACTCTTCATGATGTTGGCAATCATGACTCTCCACAATTTCCTGCCCTTTGTAACTCTTAATAAATTCATTAACTCAAGCTTGCTAGGTAGGTTATATGTTGTTTCTATTGTCCCTCTTGCATTGAATCTACCCTGTGGGTATCAAATTTTCCAAGCCCTCTTTCCTCATTATGTGCCTTAGAGATTTCAACTGTCTCTTTCTGATATTAAATATAAGTGTCCTTAAATTTAGTGATTGATAAATCAGAGATAAGTAAAATGAAAAGGTAGATTAATTTGAGTTATTTTTCTCTAACTACTTTATACTCCAAGAGTCAGTCCTTCGGTAGAAAATCTCCAACCCTCAGAGTGGAATTGGTGCTAAAGGAGTAATAAAACATTACACTAAAAAATTGCAGGTGGAATAATTCTGATATACAAACTCTTCAGAAAGTCTGAAATCTTTCTGAAATAGACCAATGAAGATTTTTGGTATTTTCCTATCAAGGAATAAAGTTAATTCTTGGATTCTTATATTTCAGTAGATGCTCTGTTTATTTATTAAACAGTATATTTATTTTCATCTATTTGCTTGAATATTTGAGAAATCTTATTAAAGAAAATATGCATCCCCCTGGGCAGAGGAAAGTCATCATTGGATGTGATGTGCCTTAACTGACTTCAGTGATAAAGAAGTTTTGCCAGTCAAGTAAAGTCTGAACAGTGTCTTTAAGCAAAATCCATCTCATCATAGATTCCTCAAAATTATCATATTGCTCAGTTTCATATCTAAATGCAAACAAAGTAATTTTCTAAAGAAGTAATGGATTTTTTATTTATTAATCCAGCCTATTTTATCATTTTAAATGTCATTTTTAGTGGATACTCATATATAAGTAAATGCTCCTTTCATTTATTAAACAGTATATTTATTTTCATCTACCAGCCTGAATATTTGAAAAATTTTATTAATCTTATTCTGTCAGATTAATAAATAATAAATTTATTACTTCTTTAAAAAATAAAGTTAATGTCAAAATTAATTCTTCAAAGTAATTAACATCTGATCAAAAACTTTTGGATATTTTCTGCCACAAAGAATATATTGGAGAGACTTAAAAAAGAATTAAACAAAAAATTATATGAACACAAAAGAGATTTTGTACAAGACAACACAGTCTGTTTCATGTTTGAATGTAATCTTCAGGCCCTGAAGATTACATTCAAACATGAAGCAGACTTTTACTTTTGACACTTGGTGTTAATCTCAGTATACAATTTTATGTCTACATATGCTCTATCTCTGTTGTTGAGCACTTTTACCCATAAATATAGCATACATTAAAATTTTATATATATGTGTGTGTGTGTGTGTGTGTGTGTGTCTGTCTGTTAAAGAAAAACCATGTCAGTGTAATCAACAGACAACTTGCTAAAAGTTTTACTACCTTAAATAAGAAAAAATCTTGACCAAGGAAAGAAAAAAGAAAAAAAAAACTAAAAGCAAACACCTACCTACACAGTAAAGATTACCCAGACAGACTGAAAAACACTTCCCAACATTAAATATCAAAGGTCATGCTTGTCATTACTTGAGTTTCACGCTCATGCAATCTTCTGTGTTTGTGTATATATATATATATATATATATAACTTTAAAAATTAGGAGGTCTGATAGAATATGTGACCTTGGTTTCAACCTCATATACACATGCACGTATAACAGTGCGTGCATAGAGATGAACAATACAAGGTAACTGGCAGTTTCATGCCTTAAGCAAATATCAGACCATCAGATGTGCTATTTCATTTAAATATCCAGATGATGATCTGTAAACCTTGTAAATAATACAGTTATTGTCGGTAGGACAACAAGGGAGGTCGGAATAGTTGACTTGCTTCTCACAGTTATGATGACTGTTCAGATGGTTTATATAACCTTGACAACAGCATGCACTTGCACACACCACATTTTCAAGACTGCATATTGGTTGGCAAATCAGAGTGAGTGTCTCTTCGGAGATCATGCTTGATCTGAGCATGCCTGAGATATTTATCCTCAAGGGTGTTGCATAACTTCCTAATAAAGTGCCTACCCCATGTATAATATAAAGTCAGTTCTTCCATGTGCAATGCATTCAGATTATCCTTTAGATTATCTTTAAAACTCTTCCTAGGCTTGTGTTGTGTTGTGGATGCTTTCCTCTCTTGAGTTCCTCATAGAAAAGTTGTTTGTGAATCCTGTTATCCCCAATGTCTTGCCCATTGCATCTGGTTGAGGATAATGATTGTTTCAATAGTGTTGCATTCAGATGTTTGGAGGACAACAATTTCTGGAATCAAAGATTGCCATTTGATATTAAGGATGCATCTCAGGCATTTTTGGTGGAATCACTCTAATGATTGTATATGCCTCAGGTATGTTGTTCATGTTTCAGAAGAATACAGCAGGGATGTTAAAACACAGGTCATATACACACTTACTTTAGATTATCTATATTTCTAAAGAATTAATGAATTTTCTTTTTTAACCCTATATATTTTTATTACTTCAAATGTTATTTTTAGTGTATTTAAGTAAAATTACTTTGTTTACATATCGGCTACAAAACTGAGCAATTATGGCTTTCAAGAACATCTGAACAAGTGAATGTGCATTAAGGCAAATAGAACCTTGATTGGCTGTGAAGCTCTCTATGGCTGAGTGGTCAAAGCACACCAGACAAGACCATACAGTGGTTTCTCCTGCAAAGAGAGAATTAAAACTGCAGGTTCAAATCTTGGCAAATAGCACATTTTCTTTAAGTCTTTGAGTGCACAGGCTGGTAGACAAAATAAACATTATTTAAAAAATGGGGTATTTACTCAAATACAGATGGCCACAAATGTTATTTTCTACACCTCCTCCCCTTCTCCACTTCTGGTGCCATAGCTGTATAATTGTAGTATAGTATTACAAACATTTATTGCCCGAGAACTGACAGTCGAAACCAAGGTTGTGTGCGGTTACATAAGGTGTTTTTGCTCCTTTGCTATATATATATATATATATATATATATATATATATATATATATATATATATATAAAGTGGACAGGATGTTTCATGCTAAACAGAATTGTCAGGCCATGAAACAGACTATCACACCTGGGCGTCAACTTCAACAACTAATTTATATTTACTTACGCTCTATCCCCAATATTGAGCACTTTCACCCATAAATATAGCATACCTTAAAACTATACTTTATCACACACACACGCACATATATATATATATATATATATATATATATATATATATATATATATAAATAAACACATATGCATGTTTGTTTGAATTTGTGAGGTAAACAAATAACGATTATTCTATCTCTATTTATCCAAATTAAATTTTCCATTTAGACTGTTATAGTTCCAACATGACCAGCATTTCTTGAAGGACATTGAGTATAATAGTCAAAACACTGTGACTATCAACAACCACAATGATGACTCCAGTTCAAATCAATCAATATATAATAAACATATAACACACAATGTCTATGAATAGCCAGTCAGCTGGAATCGGTGTTTTTGTATGAGGAGACCACCTCATGAGCTAAATAATAAATCAAATTTGCATATGTAACAAATTTCTACACAATATATTAACTTTTCAGTTCTTATTAATGCATATAAATATAGCAAGAATGATCTGCCACAATATATGTCTATCAACATCCATGTTGCAGTCAAATGTGACTGAACAGAAATACATTAAAAAATCAGTTTCAACACAAACAAAAGACATCCATTACTAAATATGGCTGAATATCATTTCCCATAATGCACTGGTGTGCCATAAAAAAAGAAAATTTTCATGAGATATTATTCACTGTCTGATACAATCTGCCTACATACAATACATGTTGACATCTTTAAAGAAGGCTGGAATTAAATTGCTATCTTTTATTGACCTTATATTTGTATATTGTCCCTTTCCCACTGCCATAACACAGCTTGCCTTTTCTATAAATATTTTCATGGTAATTGTTCTGATGAGGTTTCCTCTTTGATACCTGTACAAATTTAAGTGTAGTAGTAAATTGGCGGCAGGGCTCATCATTTTCCAGTTGAAATGATTAGATTTAATTGTAAGTTCTATGTAAACAGTTTCTTCGCTTGTACTGCGCAATATATGATGAGATGTTTGACTAGCTTCTCACACAGTAAAAAGACATTCCGCCAAGTCATGACATCAGAGACATTTGGGTTATCATTCAAACATTTTGGATCTTTACACATCACCCCATACACAACAAATTTCACCCTGACATGTTCTGCAGATATGATGCTCTCACTGACATACACATTGTCAGTGTATGCCAATGTTGCTCTCCCAACTGACACCTCCTGAGACTGCACAATGCCAATAATGGACTTCATGACTAGAGGTGCCACATTGAGGCCCCAATCACAACTAAATTAGGCAGAACCGCTTCCCCTTGATGCTCACAATTTGATATGGCCACAGTGACTCATAGATGTGTATTTGAAGATACGATTTTCATAGGTCAAGCATGGCCACATTTATATCTTGTTGGTGCCACTCTCACAGTTTGGCTATACAAATGTTCACATTTGCAGTGAATACATGAATGTGTTTGTTGAGCTTGCATTAGTCCATTACTCAGCACGCTTTCCTTTGGTTGTGCTGTAAGATGGCCATCGATGATATTACGTACTTGGTTGGCTTCAGTCTTTTTTCAGGGTATGGTATTAGTGAACAACTGGTGATACGTGTCTTCATTTCTTGTTCATATGCATCCCTAATGTACTTAAATATAAGGATATTCTAAGCCAGTTTCATAACTGTGCCCTAACTGTGCTGCAGCCATCATCTGAAACTAACA